AAACCTTCCTCTCCCTTGCAGGGCTGTATCCCCACCATGGCTCGTGCCGTGGTGGTCAACGCTGCCCAGCTTGCCTCCTACTCCCAATCCAAACAATTTCTCCTTGACTCTGGTGAGTTGGGGGGGGGGTCTGCTCTGGGGGGGGGTCCCCAAATCCTAGCACACCCTCCCCCATCTCCCCCTTGATGTTTTGGGGTGCCCCCAGGGCATTTCCGTGACGACATCCTGTGCCACTTCTGCGCCAGCATGATCAGCGGGCTGGTGACCACAGCTGCCTCCATGCCAGTCGACATCGTCAAGACCCGGTGGGTTCAGTGGGGGATGTCTCCCACCTCAGACTCGTGGGGGTCACCCCAAAACTTCCACTGTTTCACCCCTAAAATCCCCTGACAGGATCCAGAACATGAGGACAATCGATGGGAAACCAGAGTACCGCAACGGGCTGGTGAGTGAGCAGGGGCTGGGCCCCATCCCTTTGGGAGCTCCTGCCATTCTGGGAGAGGTTCCCCATCATTTTGAGTGGTTTCCCATCGTTTTGGGTGTGTTTCCACCTCACTTTGAGGAGTTCTCCATCATTTTGGGGGAGGTCCTCTCTGATTTTGGGGGGGATTCTCTGTTATTTTGGGGTATCCCTGTCGTTAGGAGAGGGTTCCCCATAATTTTGCCCTCCCTCCCTGGTGTCCCCTGCAGGATGTGCTGCTGAAGGTCGTGCGGTACGAGGGGTTCTTCAGCCTCTGGAAGGGCTTCACCCCCTACTACGCTCGCCTGGGCCCCCACACCGTGCTCACCTTCATCTTCCTCGAGCAGATGAACAAGTGGTACCAGCGACTCTTCCTCAGCGCCTGACCCCCCCGGGGGGTTTGACCCCCCTCACCCCCAGGGGCTGTGGGGGCACGTGATGCCCCTCCTGCCCCAGAGGGGTTCGTGGGGATCTGACCCCATCCCGTGGGCTCGATAGGGGCACCTCACCCTCCCTGGGGAGGCTTGGGGAGGGTGTGGGGGGTGGTGTTGCCCTGAACCTCACCCCAGGAGCTCTGGGGGTGCTTGACCCCCCACCAGGGGTTATGGTGGGGGCTCTGTAAGGATGCCTGACCCACCCCCTCGAGGCTGTGGGGCAGCCCTGGGCCCTGTGGAGGGGTCTTGTGCCCTGTTGGGGTGCCTGACACCCTACCAGGGGCTATAGGGGTCCCTGGGGCCTTACATAGGAGCCCTGTGGGGCTGCTCGACCTCCTCCCTGAGGGCAATGGGGGAGCTCTCTGGGAGGGCCAAGGCTGTGTCTCATCCCTGTGGGGCAGCCCTGGACCCCCTATGGGGACTGTGGGGTGACCTACAGGGTGCCCCCCACCCACCCCCCGAGGTTTTGTTACCAGCCAACGTCACAGTGTGGGGCAGGAATCCCCCCAAGCCTCCTGCCTGCCCCCTCTCCCCCCTGCGCTTTGTTAATGAACCATGACATGAACGTGTAATTAAAGCAAAACTCAGAGGTGGGGGTGTGGCCTATGGCTGTCTGTCACACCTGGGGGGTGGAGCCACACGGGAGATCATTTGCTTTAGCATTATCAAGGTTGGAAAACACCACTAAGATCAAATCCAGGCCAAGCCATAGGTTTATAAGATCAGTGCCGGATGAAGGTTGCAGCTGGATTATGAGACTATGATTTTATGCTGTCTCTCTTCCTTAAATATTTCCTTGCTTTCCTTTGAAATAACAGGGCCTTCTGTCTGATGCTAGCTCTCAGAGGGAACAGGGACTTCTGGCATCAGTGTGTGGACAGTCTGGGATATGTTATAGAATCATAGAATCAGCCTGGTTGGAAGAGACCTCAGAAATCATCGAGTCCAACCCTACTGTCATTACTAGACAATGACACTAAGTGCCACATCCAGTCTCATCTTGAAAACCTCCAGGGATGGTGAATCCACCACCTCCCCAGGCAATTCCCTACTCCAGTGCCTGAACAGCCCAACAGGGAAAAAATTCTGTCTCCGAGATTAGACAGAATCTCTCCTGTCTCAGCTCGTGGCCATTCCCTCTAGTCCTCTCCCTGCACCTGCAGGATAGACCACCAGTCTGCAACTGCCTTCCAGGTACCTGCAGGGAGCCCTGAGGTCACACCTGAGCCTTCTGCCAAGGCTCAGATCTGGCACACCAGTCCGGCCTTGTGCCCCCCAAGAGGTGCCAGGAGGGGCCCCCAACAAACAGGCAGCAGAGGCAGTGGGTCCGTGGAGCTGTTTATTAGCCCCCCGTGGTGTGGGGGTCCCCTCCCTCAGGCAGGGGGGCCACCATCTCCCCAAGGCAGGTCGGGGCCGGCCAG